CTTGAAGGCAAGCCAGTCCTCTTTAAAAGCATATGAAGAGAAGCTGGATTTAGAAGAATCCCTTAGTAAATTGATAATGGCATATCTTTCATTTCGTTTGAGAAGGCGGGTAGAAGAGATTCGTAGATTGGGCTCACTGGATACCGAAGGAGGGTTGCCTTGAACTTTTGTCTGTTGAATTGTGTGAAGTAGACCTCGGCTCACCGTCCTACGACCTTGATGACTCCGTGCTGAGCCAGCTGAGATCCTACTTACTTCTTATACCCCACTTTGCAATATTAATGAGGCATTCCATGACTTAGTTGGCTGTTTTATGCTTACCCTACATGTATGTAAGCAAGTTAAAGTGATACCGGAACGGTAGCGGATTTGGTCACAACTTTTAGCTATGTAAATAAACTAGCGTACGATCCTGTAATCCTGGGTCTTGTTAGAGCCCCGTGGGTGCATGTTCGTGTGCGTATGCAACACTCACGAGTTGGTTGGAAATTTTAGGTCCAAAAACAGACTCCAGCTGAGCTACATTGAGATTGTTCGTGAATTGCGCTTTCTGGTTGTGACTATGTCCGTCAAATGACGGACGAGATCTTGGCATGGAGTCATAAAGATCGTAGAACGTTGAGCAGAGGTCTACTTCGAACAATTCTGCAGACAAAAACCCAAGGCAACCTTTCTTCGGTATCCGGTGAGGCCAATCTACAAATCCCTTCTACTCGCCTTCTCAAACGAAATAAAAGGTAAGCTAGTATCTCTTTAAAAGCACATTTTTAGTGGAATTGTCGATGAAGCAAGCAATGAAATTGACTAAGATAACTATTTTGCATGTAAAATGTTTCAAAACTCTTCGTAATTTTTGAATAACTTGCTTATCAAAGGTCGCCTATGGTGATTTAAGAATAAATAGTGAAGTCCATCCTGGATTGGAGGCAGTGCTAAATTTAATATAATGGTATTGTGAGATGTACTCATAGTAGTGTTGGAAAACTTCCACTATCACTCCTTAAATTGTTTTGAGCATTCCAGGATGACTTAATTGTCAAGATTGAATTATTAGAGAATTATTGGTAACTTCGAAATATACTCACATCGAAAATAAACTGAAAAGATTTGATGGCGACCTCAGTATCTGGGAGGCACTACGATTATTTCCATAGGAAATATCGCCAAGGCCCACAGTGTGCTCTCGATATGAAAATATTTTTGGACTAGAAAGAGTTGGCTAATAGCCTTCCAGACAAAGCCAATTTTTTGCGTGAAACCACTGAATCTCACTGACTTTACCAACTTGTCCCATTCTCAAAACTCTCTTAACTCACTTAATATCGATCTAAAAAAATCTGTAGCCATGATCAGTTGAGACAAGATGAATTAATACTTTAACCAAATTGGAAAAATGTCAAGGCGAAACGCAGTATATTGAAAGTTAATGAGCGCTTCGTAAGTAAATTGTCTGAAACTGGAAGGCCCATACATAAACCTCTATTATCTATAATACATGCCACGATGATGAGATAATTAGAAATACAAAAAAGCAAGCATTTCACTTAATAGTTTTTCTTAAAATAAGTTAGTCCATATAAGCTACAACAAATGAGTGGCTTATAAAGAAGATTATTATGAGAAATGTTTAAATATAAGGGCCTTTACGCCTAAGTTACCGAAAGAGATAAAGACCTACCCTGCATTTGTCCTTTAAGGCGTATTATCCCTTATCAAAAAATGTTTACACATTCTAACAACTCACCAATTAGGCGATTGCGCCTGGATATAGCACCTTGGTGTGTGAGCCAGGCGACCAACACTTCAATCAAATTCACATCCCAAAGATAGTCTACCAGACTGTCAAGACAGTCAAGACGTAAAGGAAGAAAAGAAGACTGAGGAATCGGCACTGTAGATGCTGCAACAGGGGACAGCAGGGAACCGATAGGAGTATTGCTGCAGGTAACTTCTCCATTCGTTTCATTACATGTGGCAAGAATACCGGTAGAGTTAGCCATAGCAGGTCCAGAACCACTTCCTCCGGACAGAGAAGTACCAGTAGGAGGAC